TGGAATAGGAAAATGTGTTTTTCTGGCTCTTTGCCCAGCAGGCATGCCTTCTCAGAACATCCTGTTTTAGAAATTAACTGGTAGTGAAAGGAAATAAAACATTAGATTTTAAAAACATCACCTTTTCAGTCTGACTCACTGGACTATAATAGCTGGTGCCATTTGATCTTCTCTCCCCACCAGTTTTTGTGGACGCATATCTCGGCAGCAACCTAAGACGTTTCCCAGCAACTGCTCAACGCCTTGCCCCTGCACAATTTCCCCTAGTTAGTGTCAGAGAGTTCCCCAAGGAGGTAAGGAAAGGCCCTGGAACATGTTCTTTTTTTCAGGTGGATCTAGGGAGGATGTTGGCTCTCTTTAATAACAGCGGGGAGAAGGGAACTTGTGGCCACTGCTCAGAGGGCTATAAAAAGTTCCATGGAAGTTACTTAACACTCCCTCACACACTTCTGCAGGCAAACAGCAGATTAGAAATCAAGGAAACAAACAAACAAGCAAATAGAAGAAAGCCAGGGGATTTTAATTCAGAAGGCTTCAAGAATGGGTGTCCAAAGAATTACAATGGGACTTTAATTCTGAACTATTGTGGTTTTGCTTTTGCACAATATGGTTCGTGAAGATTTTTTTATGTGCATACTAAAATAAAGGTCTTTGGTTTAAGCCATTCTTTGTGTGTGCAAATTCTTTTTAAAAGCACTTAATTGTGTTACTTGATTTTAATAACCTACCTGTCCTTTTATAATTCCTTTTTACTACCTTCAGAACAGGTATTTCCCAGTACTGTTTTCTCAATCTTACAGGAATGACACACAACAGTCATTCTCAAACTGACACCAGAAACAGTTTTCTTTCAGATTTTTGGAAGGGCTCCCCCCCTCCTCCAGTAGTTGTCTAGAAAACCTGTTCACTAAATTAGGATGCTGGTCAAGTTATTTTTTAAAATCATAAGAGCACCTTTCCAAATAGCTTGAGGAAAGCATCCTTTTAAAAACTCATCATCCAATGCAGGGGCTAGTTCCCTCTGAGGAGAAAAAGAACATCATGTCACCCTCTGAAAGGATGAGCCCTTCCATCAAAGCCAAGGTGTCATTCAAGGAGACACTGCTAAGTTGATAGTTGTTGGTTACCAGCATGATTCAATACTTTTGCTATTTTGGGATGAGAGAGCTCTTGGCTGTCCCTCACACAGCCCTATAAATATTTGATACTAACATGACAACCCGTGATTTTCTAACAGCACCATGAAGACAAACCGCTAGACACAATGTTTTTTATGTGAATTAAATTAATAATTTGATTTTTAAAAGTAAACTGCAGTGTTGAGTGTGTGTAGGGAGTAAGTCTCCCAACAGCCATGGTCCTGATAAGCCCTTCCATACAGGAAGGTATGGAAGATATTTCCATCCAGAGAAATCCCTCTTGAGGACACCAATACGAAAACAGCTACAGCTTGAAGAAAATGCACAATAAGTGATGACATTCCCTGTTGTGTGTTTTTAGGAAAGGAAGCAAGGAAATTACAATGGTTGTTAACATGATAGCTTTTCCTCGGTAACAAGCAACACTTTTGCCTTTCTGGAGGAGCCTAAAATGCTTTCTTAGAGCAAGTTGAAGGAGTTTGTTTTCAGTTTGTAGGCCATTTTATTACCTTCGTAGATGGATGGCTTTTGTTTTTAAAAAGGACCAAAGGCTAACAGAAAGCAGGAAACCACTTTTTAAAACTCTAATATCTGTCGGTTGCCTTTCAGATCCTTGCGAAGAACTTCCTAAAACATCACTTTGAAAAGTACCTTTCCAAGCTCTACAAATGGCAATCTTATTTTCAGAGTGCTAACCCTTAATGTTGCAAAAACAGCACTATCCACAGCCAAATGAGTGAAGCAGACTTCAGAAGCTCCAAAATATTACTGAAGTGCTTTAAAAAGAGAACTGAAGCGGGAGATCCTAGACTGTAGCACATGGAAGAGAGAAAAGGCCTGATGCCCAAGCCTGTTGCCTATTTCAGGAGGGGACGTGGGAATGGGGTATCCTGGAGAATGGTGTGACAGACTGGATCCTTGAACTTCCACCCTTTGTTGCAAATTCCAGTTTTGTGCAGTAATTTGAGTTCCACAACTCTATGGTCTATGTAGCTCCCAGTACAAATGAGTGATACTAACAATTTTGTCCATTCAGTGTAAGAGAAGCGTTAATACCGAATGGGTGCAATCCTGTTGAATGGGGAAGAAGAGTAGCTTAACATGTTTTTTGCACAAGTGATCCTAAGTTTAAGCTGCCATTCTATGATGCTTGAAATCTCGGGAGATGCTAGAGGCCATTGCACACAATATAGAGAGGGAGAGATGGACAGATGCTTTAAGCATAAGGCAGATTTTTCTGTGAACTCTTTCTCTCAATATTCAGTAAAGTGTCCTTCAATTCCCCAGCTGTAATCAAGCATTTTTGCTCAGCAATGGATGAGCAAAAATTATTACCTGAGATGATCTGGAAATTGCTGCTTCTAGCCAAGTTAATTCCCAATCTTACAAGTGTTCTGTGCCCCACTGCCAGGCCCTACTTTAGAATCACCACCACAGGCAGTTTGCTTGACCAGTGCCTATGCTGATTATATGAAGATTATATGAATTCTCTGACCACAGTTTGGTGAGTTTAGGCTCTCTGAGAACACGGATGTCCAAGAGTTATGGAAGATTCAAGCCATGTAAGACTTTCTGATGAAACTGCAGCTTAAATTGCCTCCGGAAGCAGTCCGGAGACAGAAACACTTCTTTCTGCTGAAGTTGAGTAATATGGTCCCAAGAGCCAACACTTGCTCAACTGGGGCAAATTGCACCTGCTGTGGCTTCCGATGAGTCTTCAAGAGTGGCAATATACACAGCACTCTGCAGTAATACTATCTGTCTTTCTACAGAACTGTGAAAAGAGCTGAAACTTGGAGGTATGTCTTCTAATCACTCCAGCAGGTGCACATGGGAAAGCACTTATGCCCACTGGCACAGCAGCTATTTCCCAGCAGAGTCTGTCATGGACAGTCCATCAAAGACCCATTTTGTAATCCAGATGTCCTTGTCAGTGCAATATTATTTTTGCACAGGGAATTTTGTACAAAAGTAGGATACTATCCTCCGCCTTCATTATTCATTTCCAACTACTGCACTGTGGCAGAATTCACTACTATAACTACTACTATTAATGCCCTCATTAAAGATGGTTTACCACACTTCTTATTAAATAAATTCCATAAAAGATATTCCTTAGGACCAAATTCTGCGGTACAGATCACCTGCCATTAGAAGCTGAAACCTATGATCTTTCTGGAAATGTAATAATTGGAAACATTAATGATTGAGCAATCATACTTGCAAACAAAACCTGTGCCTGACAACCAATCACAAAACAAAGCAGACTGATTTGCAGACTACAGGAAGTGTGAAAAGCTCATGCTGGGATGATCAGATCTGTCCAATGCTTAAGGGATTCTGTCTTTTAATAAACTATCTGTAATTTTCAGACACTCTGGACAAATTTCTCTGTTGTTCTCAATTCATGTTTTCCATTTATTGGAGTTAACCTGAAAGTTAATTTGAATCCACTAAAATAGAGGTATAAGCAATCGTGTCAAATAATCCTATATTTACCAAAGGAAGCCTAATCTATAGCTAACTTTGTGATTTCAGATGCAGAAACAAAAGTATTCTGAAATATGCACATGTGAAAAATAAACACCCTAAGTTTCTCATGTTAGGATTATTTGGGAGTTAAATAGTTCAATACTTAAAATAATTCAGAGCAACAGGGCATGCTCCATGCTCCATATAGGACTTAAGTAATTTGAGGGCCAGTTCTCCAGGACTGCTGTGATAAATAGATGAGTGTCAGAGGAGATTTGCCATTCTGTCCAGTGGTTGGTGTGCTGATGTATATGTGCACTGAAGCATAGGGAGAGAAGGCTGCACTGGACCCAATGTGCAGAGCCATGGAGATAATTAAGACTGATGAGAGAATGACATAGAACACAAGAAAAAGAGAATGGCATAAATAAGCACAAATCCTGGTTAAACTTCTCTAAAAATGGCCTTTTAAAAATAACAAAGAAACATGGGTAAGAAACTTGAATAAAACAAAAATGGCACTCCCACTCATTGTATCATTTTTGAAAAATAACTTAACAGTGTCCTCATTACACAAAGTTACTTTTCGGAAGCAATGTTAGTGTTTGCAAGTTGCTACTACCAAGCACATATATTTACATGTATACACAACTAAACGACAGAGCTTTTAATATCGTATCCTGAAAATAACATACAGAATAGCTCCACTTGCATATGCTGCTATTGCGATATAGTTTGTATGGATGTATAACTTATTCCATAATTGCTCCCCTCCCTCCTCCAGACAACGATGGCACACAGACACACACATTCTGCTACGTGGCAGAGTGCAGTAGTGCCTAAAAATATGCAGCAAATGCATCAAGCATAATTAGATGTTTTGATAGTCAGGGGAGGTGGATTTTTGGGATTCGCTGAATAGCAGAGGCCTACGTTTCTGCCAAACAACTGATCTGAGTTGGGAATCCCAGGCCGTGGGGCCCGCCTGGCCTGTCTGTAGGATGTATAGCAGAATCCAGCCTTGGAAACCTGATCTGATTAATTTCTAATTTTAACTATGTGTGTAGCATTTAATACAGAAGCAGCTGATGGTGTATAAATCTACGGCCTGTCAAGCAGCCCAAGTGCAGGGCTAAAGCTGAGGTTGCTCTTTAAACGCAAACATAAGCTTGAAAGCAGGGCTCTGTTTTTTTAAAAACGCGCTGCTGCGGCCATTGCGCTCAGACAAACAAATGAGAGCGACAAACCTCCTTTTTTATGACATAGGAATGGAGCGCGACATCACAAAAAGCTGTAGAAGATCACATAAGGGCTGAAACCTTAACCACAAAAAATGTGCCAGAGACTGTTGTTTTAGCCCAATGGTTAAATGACATGCTGTTTACATACCTGTTCGAGTGTTTATGAGAAGCTGAAAAAAGAGAGAGAGAGAGAAACCTGGTCATACAATCTTTCTTTCGTACAAGACTTTACAGTACAAACTTGAGGGTCCCTGGTGGCATTCATCTATCTCCATGGGAAAAAAAAGGTTGCATGCAAGTCATCCCACAAAAGTTTTCAAAGGGTGGCCTTCCATGAGCGGATGAGGCTAAGCTGTTGGGAGACCCTTGAGCTGCTGGATGTCACTCTCATCACTTAAGGATAAATTGAGGAAGTGAGCTCAGGGTATGCTCAGATTTCTGTCTTTTCATCAGCTGACTCAAGATTACTAGATTGAACAGCAGCAGAGCCTGGCTTGTCACTGCCAGAAAGTGACTGTTGAGCTGTTTCGTATACAATTCTTGAGAGACACAGTCTATAAACAAGATGTATGACATTTAGGATATGGATGTTTAAGAAATGCAGCTAGGCATACAAGCCAGTCTCCAATCTAAATCAAACAGAAAGGACTGAAATAGTAAAAAACATCCATACAGGTCCCTACTTATTTATTTAAGAATGCAAGTGTTAAATAAAATAAAACAGATTGTAATGGCAATGTTTCCTTCCATGTTCCTCTTGGCTACTATCTTATTGAGTCTTTGCTTATGGGTTCTCACTTTAAAGAAGTTGAACGCTGAAAGTTTCAAAACACCACTACTAGCAATCTCATTATAGCTTAGTATTCATACAGGAAGCAGCTTATTTGGGGTCAAGAGATCTTTAGTATCCTATTAAAAATAATGGAAAAAGTAATACTATACTTTGGAGTTGAAGCTACGCAAAGCACCAGTTGAAGGCAGTTCAGAAGTCATAAATGAAGTCTGATTGCTTGTAAAGTATTTTCGGATTGCAGCCTCTGTTTATTTTAATTATCCCAGATTTCTAGCTCATCCGTATAAAGGATACGGCAATAAAAAGAAGAAGTAAAATGCTTGTAAAATCATTACATACAACACTGTAATCAAAATTACCTCATAACTAGCCATTGCTGTGTTGTCTGCAGGACACTTTACTGTCTGAGGGAAATATGCTGGCCCCTCCCCACTGCATGTGCAGAAGTCTGCTGGAGGGGCGGCTGTGATGGGACATTGCCCATTAGCCCACCTAAGGTTACTGGCTCGTGCAGGCGAGGGGCCCAGGACAGGCCTGCTGTTCACACAGACATTTTAGAACATGGAAAACTGCTGTGGCTGAAGATGAGTAGTTTTTGAAGGATGTGCTGCTGCCCTCCTGCCTACCCCCGCCCCCTAATGGTTATACATTCTGCCTAATGGTAAGGATGGCCCTGAATCATTACAAAATGAGTGGAGAGAGCCGGTATACCATTTGGTGAGATATTTGCATCCAATGGCTTCCATACCTCAAGTGACGCTATTCGGTCTGGCTCCTTCCACTGTCATTAAGTGGCTTAAGGAAACAGTCACTTCAGGATATTGGCAAATTACACAGTTCCTTTGCTCCATGGAGGGGCAGAGGAAGTGTTTTTAAAAACATTCTTTAATCCTAGAGCTGATGGACTGCACCATCAATAATTGCTGAGGACTTCTGACTTGACGCTGTGACGAGACAGCAGCAGGAGGATGGAGCTTTGTCCCCTGGGCTGAATTTCAATCTGTTTGGGATTCCCCAGGGGGTTAAAATGGAAGTGAGAGCTGGACCATAAAGAAGGCTGACCACAGAATAATTGATGCTTTTGCTTTGTGGTGCTGGTGGAGTCTCTTGAGAGTCCCCTGGATTGTACGGAGAACAAACCTATCCATCTTGCAGGAAATCAACCCTGAGTACTCACTGGAAGGACAGATCCTGAAGCTGAGGCTCTAATACTTTGGCCATCTCATGAGAAGACTCCCTGGAAAAGACCCTGATGTTGGGAAAGTGTGAGGGCAAGAGGAGAGGGGATGACAGAGGATGAGATGGATGGACAGTGTCATCGAAGCTACCAACATGAATTTGACCAAACGCTGGGAGGCAGTGGAAGACAGGAGGGCCTGGAGTGCTCTGGTCCATGGAGTCACAAAGAGTCAGACATAACTTAATGACTAAACAACAACAAGAATGAGGTGTGAAAACTCCTTAAGCAGCTGCTGGTGCTTCTAAGAGATGGGTTGCTGTCAGTTTCTAGACTGCTGGATGCAAAATAGGGTTCAAATACCCTTCAGAGACTTGGTTCAGATGCAAGTCATTTTCTCTTATCCTTTATTTCTGATAAATATCAGTTAGAGCAGCCTCATGGGATTTGTGCTTCACAGAGTTGTGGTAAGAACAAAAGAACACAGTAAACATGCTATAATAAAAGTCATACATCATTGTCATAGTATATACTGTACTATGCCTTCTTGACTGTTCAAAGTCCTTCATGTCTGTTGTTTTATGATGTTACCTGACCGGGGGGGGGGTAGTCACTATGTGAACGAATCAGAGATTGTGGCAAACTACAGCAACTATGAATTTTGATTGGACTATGTAAAAGAGGACTGTAGAGTTGTCAAGTTCTGCCTCTGTTCTTTTACCTTTAGAACTCTAGCTTATTTTCTAGAGATAACAAAGGTTTTAAAAAAATCTTTTTTTCGAATTTTGTGCTACAAATGGGAATAAATACAACTAGGTCTAGAGTTCGCAACGCCAATGGTGTAATTTCTCCCTTTCCACAGTGCATCATTCTTCCACACAGGGACTTCCAGATAAGGTTCATTTTTTAATCATTTAACGGAATTGCTTCATTTGTTGGTTTTTAAAGGGGTGGAGATAGTCTGACAATATTGTTTCCAGGTTCAACTGGCTGTATTTCCCCCAGCCAACACAAGCTTCTTTTTATTTCTTTTTATTTTAGAAGAGTGGAAGGGGGAATTGGAATAGTTAAAACAATGCCTTTTGATTGGTAGTGCTGGCAGTCATTGATCTAGAATAGAATTGGGGAAGCTTTGATCCTTCAGACTTCTTGGACTTCAATGCCCAGAAGCCCCAGCTGTTATACCCAATAGGAAGTGACCTTGAATTGTCATTCAAAATGTCTGGAAGGCCAGAAGCACTCCCAGTCTTCCGTTTTTCTTTATATTTCAAACATCCCTTCTGGTTAGTACCAGCTGGTCAGTTTCATAGGCGAAGGACAAACTTGGTCCTGACAGGGTACTATACTTTCTGGGTATCAATGGCTGCTTCAAATAGTCTTGTTACTACTTTCATAGTGTCTTGACACACTCCCTTGCTCTAGTTGTATGTCTAAGTTTCCCACGTCAATCTTCCTGATAAGATTATTTTCCAATTTATTTTCCAGTTTGACTGATTAACACATCAGTCTGGATCTTCACATTGCCCTAACAGAACAGTGGCTCCATCCCCCAACCATTCACCATTTAATATAGTAAAATAACAGACAGCTGGCAAGGAACTCTGTCTTTTCTCTCACCTCTTCCCCATAACAAAATCAGCATTTCATAAATCACAATTAAAATATTATTGTGATGCATAAGATCATAATACATATTACACGGTGTCTGGTTGCAATTAGAGAAGCCACGTTAAACAGTCTTATAATACATGGATCATGCCTTACATGCCTTAGTAAAATTAACTCTTAAACTTTACTAATCATGAATTGGTTCACTAAGCATATTCATTTTTAAAAATTTCAGGATGAAGGCCGATGCCTGTATTTAATTACCTTAGAGTAAAGCCCATAGAACACAATAGGGCTTATTTCTTACTGGAAATGTGTAAGATTGTATTGTGTTTCCCACTAAAAAGCAGCAATATTATATGCCCCTTTATATCTCTCTCCAGTTGGAATTATAATGGAATTAAAATATTTAATAAAATCTTTTCCTGTCAGTCTATCCACTAAAAGGCAATAAAAAGACAAAAATCAAATATTATTTAGTTAGTCACTGCTCTTAAAAACATCTAAAATACAGCTTATCGGAATCTGAAAAACCCTATATACTCATCAAGAATCTAAAATACAGAGTATTATTTTTAGAAAAACATCTCTCAAGAAAGGCTGTTTTAATGCAAAGGCTTTATATGAACTCAGACTGAACTCACCTGTAAGCCAAAGACTTGTTAGTGTAAAGGACAAGTCTAAATTAAAGTACAAGGAAGTCTATCTAAAATACTGGGCTTAAACTACAAAAAAAGTTTCTATGACCAATTAGAAATAGTGACAGATTCAACTTCAGTATCCATTCCATTGGCAGCAATGAATAATCATTACATTTAATGAGCGTTTCAACTGTGAACTGGGCTATTATTATATGGTTTTAAACCATGGTTTCTTTTATGATTAGTACGATCATTGATAAGAAAATAAGAAAAGTCATGCCAGATCAGACTAGAAGTTATCTGATACAGCATCCTGTTTCCCCAGGTGAACAGATCCCTGCTTACAGGAAGCCAGCCCACAACTAACACAATGACCAGACAGATATGTTTTGTACACTTGCTAACACATAACAACTACCAGCATGCATGCGATTGCCAAAGAATCAGACCTTTCTCAGCTTTTAGCAGTGGGAGACATACAACACCAAGAACCGAATGTCATTTTGGTGCAGCTGCATGATCCAATTACAAAAGCAAGAGAATGGGACACACACACACACACACCACACATAAACATGATGATGGTGTAACAACAACAGTAACACAGCAAGACAACTTCTGTTTTCCTGAGTGCCCCGGCCAGCTTGGAACGACACATTTTTAATACAAATGCGATTCTCTTTGTATGGGCTTTTGGGCATACATTCATGATATAAGTGTGTAGATATTGTGTGTACACTCACTGCCACATTAATCTGAATGAAATTTTATATGGAAGGCAATTCCCAAGCATAGAGCATCTTAAAGTTCTGTGCCCTTACACTGCTGAGGTCTTTGTCCTGCAGGATAAAGGTCAAAGCTGGTTGACACAAAATCATGGATTAGGTTAACCTTCATCAACCTCAGGCTTCCAAGTGTGCAGGTATTACAGCCTGGAAACATAACATAACACCCAGAATTTGTGAGCCAGCAAGGCTACCCTAGGTGGACTA